ACTGCCAAACATCTTTTGGAATTAGGGCAACTCAATGTTGCACATCAAACCGCTTAATGCATCTTCATATTATTCTTGAATGGCCGAGGGTGATTTTTTTTTTGTTTTCTGCTGCATTTCCCAACAGACAGCCACCATCGCTGGGAGGCAGAGCCACAGCCATCGGCCCTTGCTGCCGCAACCCACGCTGCACTGCAGGCTCCTCGGTCCACCGCCACCGCCGCAGGGCACCGTCACACGCAAGCACCGCCACACCATGATACCCAACACCAGCGCCGTGCTTGACCGTGGAGAGACCAGCCCACGAAAGCCCACACACGCGCGAGGACGCAAGCCCCTCCTCCCCCTGTCGCCATCGAACGGGCTTTGCCTAGCCGCGCCCCCTGGCGGTGGCGAGGGGAGGAAGGGGGAGACCGGCGGCGGGATCTGGGGTCGCCCTCCCCGTCGCCAACGAGGGAGGGGAAGGGCGTTACCCCAACAAACTTCCCATAGAGACAATGTGAGCCAATGTTTGAAGCAGAGGCGGTGTATATATGCAAAGGGTGAGCTCAGTGCCAGAGGTGACGTGATCAAGGCACACATGGGTGACACGCCTTTTAGGACGAGACGTGGTTCAACATGGCATCCGAGGCAGTAGCATTTTCTTTCCGGATTTGTCCAAACATGTAAAGCTATTCAGTGCACGCCTGTCAAGCCACGAGCATCCACAGTTTACTATAGTGTTTTTTCTATATAAAAAAAAAGGTTGGCCAAAACGTGCTTCTGCTGATGAGATAGACGGCAGTTTCTGTTTGCATGAGCCAATCAAGCAAAGCCGAACCGCATGAGGCAAAACGTGAAGGCTCGGGAGTCGGGACGGACAGGGCAACCGACGGCGGGCATCCACCGGCGGATCAACGGAGGGTCATGCGAATCCGCTGCTTCAGCGGCTATATCAACCGCCTCCCGAAAGCAAAGACGAATGGATCTTAACTTCAGTAGTAGCACAGCGAGATCAGCAGCAGCAGCAGCAATGCAGCACGCCGCGCAGGACCCCAGCGCCGCCGCCTTCTACTCCGCCGCCGCCGGCCTCTACGCCAGCGCCCACCCGCCGGTGCCGCTCCCCGCCGACCCGGGCCTCTCCCTCGTCCCGCACATCTTCTCCCGCCTCCCGCTCGGCCCGCCGCCGCCGCATTCCCCGCCGTGCCTCCTCGACGCCGCCACCGCCGCCTCCCTCTCCCGCGCCGACTTCCGCCGCCTCGTATCCTCCCTCGCGCGCGGCCTCCGCGGAGCCCACGACATCCGCGCCGGCGCCTTCGTGCTCCTCGTCCTCCCCAACTCCCTCGCCTTCCCCGTCGCCTTCCTCGCCGTCCTCGCCGCCGGCGGCGTCGCCACCACCATGAACCCCTCCAGCTCCCGCGCCGAGATCGCCGACCGCCTGCGGGACACCGCCCCGTCCCTCGTGCTCGCGTCGCCCGACAACGCCGCCAAGCTCCCGCCCTCCGCCGCCCCGGTCGTCCTCGTGCCGGAGACGTTCCATCCCACGCCCTCGGCGGGCCACGAGTTCGCGCCCTTCCGCGCGCTGCTCGATTCCGACGCCGACGACCTCCCATCGGCGGAGGTTGGCCAGGACGACGCCGCCGCCGTCCTCTACTCCTCGGGGACCAGCGGACGGAGCAAGGGCGTCGTGCTCACGCACCGCAACCTCATAGCCATGGTCGAGCTCTTCGTGCGCTTCGAGGCGTCGCAGTACGCGCGACCTGCTTGTGACAATGTCTACCTGGCCGCGCTGCCCATGTTCCACGTCTACGGCCTCTCCCTCTTCGCCGCGGGCCTCCTCTCGCTCGGCTCCACCGTGGTGGTCATGAGGAGGTTCGACGTCGGCGAGGCCGTCAGGGCCGTCCACAGGTATAAGGTCACGCACTTGCCGCTCGTGCCGCCCATCATGGCGGCGCTGCTGAGGGCCAAGGCCACGGGCGCCTCGTCATTGGACTCCTTGGTGCAGGTCTCCAGCGGTGCAGCTCCACTCAGCGGCAAACTTGTTCAGGACTTTATCAAGGCTTTCCCACACGTCGATTTCATTCAGGTACATATAGCCTACTAAATTTAAATTGTTTGTACTCCCTCCGTAAACGCTCCGTAAACGCTCTTAGTTTACGGAGGGAGTACTATTCTGGGAAACATAGGTTGGTGAAGGCAAACAATTGTTGTAGTCCAGGTGTCCGTATTCTGAGTATAAAATAACGGTATTGTTACGTGACGAACGTCGGCTGGAAAGGAATAACGGTATTGTTACGTGGCGAACGTCAGCTTGGAAGGGGTGACATGCGAGCTTTTTTTATGACAAGTTTATGTGGTGGGAGATGGCAAATCCTCCCCTTTTTGCAGCGAACTTTTTTCTTCTTTCCCAGAAGTTATGTTTCTGAAGAAATTGCGATCCCCCCACTGCGTAAATTGCCAGTTAAAATGTCCGCAATCGTTACCTCATCCCAGCTGACGTTCGCCAGATAAGAGGGCCCTAAAATAATTTAGTGGTACTATTTAATCATATGCCTTGTCGCTGATATGTGATGAATAGTACTTAGTCTATTACATAGGTATATCCATTCATGTATGTTGGTCCTTTTGTTTTATCACCTTAAAGTTCAGCCTACCAATTTTCTGCATATGAGATGCAGTTGATTTGACTATGCAAACATTATAGACATGTATGTGCATATTTTAGATGGGGTGACAAAGTAGGGATTAACAAGTTTAAAGCAAAATTTGTATACAATTAATACTTCTGCAATCAAACTGTGAAACTATTACTGCAATTCCAGTTCCAGTTGTATGCAGTATTCAGAGTAAACTGCTATTTTTTATGCAATTGGAGAACTGAAAGTTAGTCGTGTGATTCGAAATTACCCATTCCAATTGCTTGCAATATTTTGAGTAAATAGTTGCAATGTAATCACTGAAATATACTGCTCCAGTTCCAACTGCTTGTAATATTCTGAGTAAATGTTTACACTTTGAACAGGGCTATGGCATGACAGAATCTACTGCTGTGGGAACTCGTGGTTTCAATACCTCGAAGCACAAGAAGTATGCATCTGTAGGTCTTTTAGCCCCAAACATGCATGCCAAAATTGTTGATCTGGAAACTGGCTTATGTTTACCTCCTGGCTCTTGTGGGGAGTTATGGCTCCATGGGCCAGCTATAATGAAAGGTAACATTTCATGAGCCCAACTCAGCCACTGCAACGAAAACACTCACCTTGAATTTTGGTATTTGTAGTCTGATGCAAACCGATGTCTAGTTAAAAAGATCACTTTAAAAATAAATTGACTGGCCTTTACTTAACTCAGTGCTGAGGTGGTTATTGAAGACCCTATGAAGACTTGGCATATGCATTGTCTCTGCATTTTCTGCCATTCTTTTTCAGCTCACTTAGAAAATAAATATGATCATTCTTTGTGCTTAACATGATTTCTTCGTCCTCTTAATGGTTATTTTATACAATTCCCTTGTGTCTATGATATAGGTACTTCTTATCATTCTAGTGCAAGTATCTGATTATGCGACAAAAAAAATTGATTTATACTACCTTTACTCTGCTATGTGATTATTTTTCCTTTTAGAAAGGTAAACAGAATCAGCTCTCAGGTCTAGCCTTTAACAATATGTGGCTGGCCTTTACTTAACTCAGTGCTGAGCTGGTTAATATGATTGCATATATCAATATCAGGGTTTGAGATTGCTAACCGGACCTGCCATGAAGACCTTATAAAGACTACATATGCATTGTCTCTGCATTTTCTGCTATTCTTTTTTAGCTCCCTTAGATAACAAGATCATTTTTTTTTACTTACACATGATTTCATCCTCCTCTTAATTGTTATTTATATATAATTCCCTTGTGTCTATGATATGGGTACTTCTTATCATTGTAGTGCTTAAATATCCAACTGTGCCAGTACAAAAGAATTAATTTGTACTGCCTTTACTGCTATGTGATTATTTTTCTCTTTAGAAAGGTAAATAGAATCGGTTCTCAGGTATAGTCTTTAGCATTATCTGGGCCGAGGCTAACGCCCCCTGAATTACTTGAGCTATAATCCATGCCATTTTTCCTCATTTATATTTGGGTTGTCGGAATTTTCTTTTTTCACAGGTTACTTGAATGATGAGGACACATGCACGAGAAACGATGGCTGGTTGCAGACTGGTGACCTTGCTTACTTTGATTCAGATGGTTACTTATACATAGTGGGCCGTTTGAAAGACACTATCAAGTACAAAGGATTTCAGGTATGCCTTCATGTAGCAGGCAGTATAATACACCGACCTTGCTCTTGTTTATAGTAACAAATTGCGCAAGAAGTTAATGGGTTATAACAAATTATCATTCTGAACATCAGATAGCTCCAGCTGACCTTGAAGCAGTTTTGGTCCAGCACCCTGAAATTGTTGATGTTGCTGTGACATCGTAAGTTCGAAAACCGTTAGATAATATTACGTCGGTTGAACTTATTTGTCAGCATGGAATTGAACTTTTATTCTTTCGCTTTTCTCGACTTGCACGTAGTGCTGAAGATGAAGAAGCTGGAGAGATACCAGTAGCTTTCGTGGTGAGGAGATCTGGAAGCCATCTGACCTGTGTGCAAGTGATGGAGTATGTGGCCAAGCAGGTAAAAAGACGCTACTACATTGCACAGCACAGCACAGCACCACTCTTCTGCTTCCTTCCTTGAAACCGACGTGTCATAACAGTAGTATGATGCATCCTTTTAGTTTTAATCATAAAATTTCAAGTCCAATCGAACATGACAAACATTCTAAGCAATCCTGAGATATCAGTGGTTGTCAAGACAGTTTCCATGACCATGAGTGATTGCTGTGCATGCTCCCCACCTGTCCTGACTCGCTGTACGGACGGAAACGCATACTCACTAACATGAGGTCAGGTTGTTTGGCACGCACGCCATTCTATACTCCAGAGCCAGTGGCGTATGCTAGGTCAGGCTGGCATGCACTCCTCCCCTCTCTTTGTTGACTCACCAATCGAACCCATGATCCATTCAAGAGTGATGCGCGGCGCTGGACAAAATACAGGAGCTCGGCTGTTCCTGTGAGACCTTGTCTGGCAGGAAGAGAGACGTCCAAGAAAAGATTGCGGCCAGAATTTGTTGCTGCTTCTTGACCATGTCCAAGTAGTGAGATAGACTAGGGGTTCATTACACCGAAAATTTAATCACTTGCAATTCTGTAGAAAGTAAAAAAATTCTCTTTTCTTTTGCTGAAGATGCGAATTGATCTGATGATGGTGGGTGCAGGTGTCCCCGTACAAGAAAGTTCGCAAGGTGATATTCGTGGAGGCAATACCCAAGTCAGCTGCTGGCAAGGTTCTGAGAAGGCTTCTCAAAGACTCTCTGCGCATTGATGCTGCTGCTTCCCGTTCAGATCACACCAAACCCAGTGCAAGGCTGTAAACGGAGTCGAGCAGCTTCCATCGAAATGGATGAAATACATGTGTTAGCTGCTGGATGTTTTTGGTGTGCGATTGGGATTGGTTCACCAGGGATTGGGATTGCTCGTGATTGCATACTAGCAGTACCATACCATGCTCCCATAGGATGTGTCTGAGTCCGTCACTGGAATACATGTCTGTGTGCTATTATAGTCTATAGATAGATTCGTCAGGAAAGACTGTTGATTGGAACACCATTTCGTATTATTACCTTGTTGAAGGTGTCGTCTACTGGTCTTCATTGGCTAGTATCAGCAAACAGGATGAAAATCCTTGTCTAGACCTTCTTCGGTCGGACATGGCGACGGTGGCTCAAGGGCGTTTATTCCTTGTTGAAAGCCGTGTTGCGAAAGAGGTCGATTTAGTCATAGGAGTTTTTTTTTTCATATCTCAATTGGTTCTTGTTTTTTAGGGGGTTGATTGATTCTTGTGATGGATGTGTGGTTCTTCTGGAGACAGCAACGTGGAGCTGCTAAAATGGAACTCGAGTAGTTTCATAGTTTAATATAGCAACAAAATGAAAACTCTGGAAGAGGGAATATGCGGCCATTGGATGGAATGTGCTGCTGGCATTGTGATGCATTTGTTTTGGATTAGTAGATTGACATCTTCAGCTAATTAATTCAATGCCAACCAACCAACGAACTGCGTGTATCCATACACCTTGCCTGCTTAATTAGGCAGGCATCTGTGCCGATCGGTTCTTCATATCTTCTGGAGAGAACGTGAATATGTAAACAGTAAATTTCACTTTGTGGGTCTGAAAATGACACAAGTGGCAAGCAATTACTCATTTGAAGATATGAATAGCCACGACGTAGCAATTGGATGTTTCTTAAGCTAACAAGGATGGACACGTCGATCCATTACTTTGGGCACTCCATGTGTATGGCAGAGGGTTATGGGCACATCGCTGGCCTAGAGCAATTCTAGCAAAGTTGCCAAAACCCGAATCGGTCATCCCTCATATGGAGAGTGTTTCATGATGTTTTAAAAGCTGAAGGGACTATGCGCAACCACATAATCGCCAAACTACAGCCTCTATAATTTCATTTGCTTCGAATTTCTAGGGGCAATTTAGGCGACATTTAATCCTAACCAAACGGTGAATAAACACAACAACTTAATTAACAACTATATAAGTGGTCAAACTTTGTCGTATCACGTATATTTTGTAACTTGAAGTATCGTCAAACGGTATTTTCAAAATATGCAATGTAGCTATTCGATTGGTTACTCGGGCTCGGGCTCGAGCTAGGCTACGATGACGAACATGATGACAAGATTAGCGGGGGTGACAACCTCCTTCTCATCATCGTCGTTGACGGGGATGATGACACACAAAGCATTAGACTCATGCCTCAAGCAGCGGCGGGAGTCACCAGCATCACGCGAGCCGCTAGATCCCCTCCCCCTTCGGCTCCTGTCACGAGGAGCTGCCAGTGCCATGCAAACCACGACGGGAAGAGGATGTAGCGACTCCTGTTGTTTATGCGTCGTGGGGAGAGTTCGCAACGACGAAGCGTGGGGTTTACGATGGTAGGTTCGCGTCCGCTAGGATGTTGAGCCAGTACTCGGCATTCTGCCAGGACGGCATTGTCGCGCCGAGGGGCTAGGAGAGATTGAGCTGGAGCAACGACTAGGGGTAGGGGGGAATGACTCGGCGTTGGGCTTTTATAGCCGGGGTTTGCAGGCATGTCGGCTTTAAATGATGCCGCGTGGCGGCCATCTAACGAGTTACCACATGTATCCGTGGGAGCTGGATCACCACAAATGTGGTGGGCGGTTGCTCTTGTTCACCATCAAATCTAAAGCAACAATGTGGACAACAATGATAGAGATGAGGGTTACGAAAGTAGTGGTGAGATCTAAGGCTTACATGAAGTTGACCTAGTTCACAAAGTCGATTTGGCCAACTCTAAAGAACAGACCAACAAAGCAGGTGAGCGTTTGGTGCATTCATAGATTCAAGTCAAGTCGAGCTAGATCAGTAAGCTGCTTTCTCCAATACGCATGAGTGTGTGTATCATATATTAAAGAAGAGAGTTTGGGGAGAGAACCCCTCCACCTTACAGCTTAGATGCTACATGCAGAACACGGCTCCACCTCTGCCGCTAATGCACTAGCCTACCCTCTCTCAAGTACCCACCCGCCTAAGTAGCCTATGAAGTTGTCGACGTCGCCTTAGAAAGAGTTCGTTCTGACTCTCACTCTTTCCTCCCCTCTCGATGTAGTTGATGGCAAGGCGTCGTGATGGTGTTGCTCCGTCGAAAACTATAGAGTTGTGGTGCTTTCATAATGACCACATGGTGAGAACTAGAATCACGTAAATGTCCTTGATGTGATGCTCACCTCCACTCTTGTCCGTGCACCAAACGTTTAGCTGATCATTACTCTTGGGTGCCCATCCAGGCTTGCGGAATGCTGTGCACACAATCGCCCAGACCTCGCTCGCAAATACGCAATCCAAAAGGATGTGGTTTATTGTTTGGGTTAATTAGATAAATGCCACTTCAATTATGGCGATTCATAAAAATGCCGCAGCAATTTTCAAACTTTGAAAAATGCCACTGCAATTTTTGCAAACTTTGAAAAACGTCACTGCAGACTTCGAAAGATGCCACTGAAAATGGCATGAAATGGCATTTATCAAAGTTTGAAAATTGCAGTGGCATTTCTCGGAATCGCCAGATTTGAAGTGACATTTGTCAAATTAACCCTTGTTGTTTCACCGCATTAAGCACAAAATGGGCATGAATCTTGACGCGGCAACCCCCGTCAAGCGAGCCGGTCGGACGTCCAACACCTATTTCTTAATGCCAGCCAGGTGAAGAACTTGCACTGCAACGGCGCCCTGGACTTCCACGTAAAGTCAGACATAGGGACAACCTCTCCGCTTATGTGCCTTTTGCCACGTATAAAACATCCATACACAAACCTCGACGTGTCTTCATCGACAGTTTCCCTCCTAGTTTAGAGAAAATATTAAAACGTGTCATTCTTTTTTTTTTACGTGAGAAAGTTCCAATTTATTCATCTTCGACCATGGCGGTTAAATATGGTATATATTGTTGTAATTTATCATCAGTTGAGTAAACCGGCGAGGAAAATCTTAACTTAAACGGAGGACCGTCGTCATCGTTAGGGTCATTTTTTACATGTGCAAAGTGAAATGATGGAACATCATCATACAAAACATAAACGTGAAGGCGCGCCGAAGGGCGATGAAAAAACATGGGCAGCCGCGTGATGGCAGTACTACGCGTCCACAGGATTAGGTGCGGGTATATTATCCGTACCCAGGACGGATCCGTCTGCTTAACCAGACGGATTTGGCGGGCGGGCCCAGACTTGTTTGCCCACGAGTCTGATCATCGAGGCGGAGAGAAAGTCAGAAAGAAAAGCCCGTCCGTCCCTCCGCCTATTTAGCGCCGCTTCCTCCTCTCGTCCTCACCCTCAATCACCACCCCGGACTCGGAGCAACCAGCGATGGCGCGCGTCTCCAATTCCAAGAAGCGCATGCTCCACACCAACAGCAGCAGCGGCAACAAGAAGGAGGAGGCGACCACCGCCAGCGCCAACGCCAGCGCCGCGGGGAGCGACGACGGCCGCCCCGTCCGCGTCTACGCCGACGGCATCTTCGACCTCTTCCACTTCGGCCACGCCCGCGCCCTCGAGCAGGCCAAGCTGCTGTACGTTCTTGCGTGTTCCTTCTTCGCCTGTTTTCTACGTACATGTAGATCTAGGCCCGTCTGGCGGTTGAATTTGTTGGATCTGGGGCCGCGTTTGTCGCCTCGTTCCAAGGCGACGTCTGAATCTCGGTCCAACCGCCTCAAATCGATGCTCATTTCGATCTGTACTTGGCTGCAGGTTCCCCAACACGTACCTGCTGGTGGGATGCTGCAACGACGACCTCACGCGGCGCTACAAGGGCAAGACCGTCATGAACCAGGAGGAGCGATACGAGTCCCTGCGCCACTGCAAGTGCGTAACAACCACCAACCCTTCCTCATTTTCCACCTCTTTAATCAGTATACATCGCACCGCATTTCTTCGTTCAGTTATTATTACGAGATGCAGACACGCATCACCAGTATAGTATGCCAGTTACACATCGCTTTCGATTGTCAAATACTACCACCGGTTGCCTCCATTTGTGCATTGGAGCCATCCTGTCCTGTTATTCTTTTGATCACCAGGAGAACTGGATGATATGTGATTCATTGCAACACCACGCTTATATAGATACTTGGGTTGACCCATTTGACATTCCCCCCTGTTCTAAGCATATGCCATGTTTATTTAAGAATCAAGTATGCCTGGTCCTTTATGATATTTGATTAAAAAAATGGTATTTTCTGCTCTGCCGATCGTCTAACTATTTATCTGCTGCTTTAGGTGGGTTGATGAGGTCATTCCCGATGCTCCCTGGGTTCTCACGCCAGAATTCATTGAGAAGCATCAGATTGACTATGTTGCACATGATGCTTTGCCGTAAGTCATACCCGCTCAAGAGCTATACCAAATCCTCACTTTTCCCCCTCTAATCAGCTCCACTAACTATAAACATACTCATTGCAGTTATGCCGATACAAGCGGTGCTGCAAATGACGTCTATGAGTTTGTAAGTTTGCATCTCCACAACTAATATATGTGGATCGACGGCGTTATCTTTGCCGTTGCTTACTTATTCCTATTGTGTTATCAGGTCAAGAAGATTGGAAAATTCAAGGAAACAAAACGGACTGATGGAGTATCGACATCGGACCTTATAATGAGGATAGTGAAGGACTACAACCAGTATGTCATGAGGAATTTAGCACGAGGTTACTCAAGGAAAGATATGGGCGTGAGCTATGTTAAGGTCAGCCACATTTCTGATGACACCTAACCGACCAACCTTTTTTTGCGACGAGTAGAGCTTAGCACATGGCTTATTTTTTGTCTTTCGGTATATTGTGATGTTATTCGTTTGGTCTCCCAGCCCAGGTAATAACTTGTGTTGGTTGTCTTGTTTTCAGGAGAAACAACTGCAAGTGAATATGAAGATAAATAAACTGCGGGAGACTGTGAAGGCACAACAAGAAAAGGTAATCAGCCATGCGCCTTCTCAGCTCAAATCATGCTTGCCGGCAATCTACAGACCAATCGTTCCATCCACATGGCAGAATAGACGTTTTTTAGGCCCGATGATTATTAGTTGTGCTGATCTTCTGATGTGCTGTATAGTTGCAAACGGTGGCGAAGACGGCTGGGATAAACCACGAAGAGTGGCTGGCGAACGCGGATCACTGGGTGGCTGGCTTCCTGGAGAAGTTCGAGGAGCACTGCCACGTCATGGTATAGTATACTTTGCTTAAAATCTACAAACAGAGTAGTCAAATCGAACATGAAATTCAGGAGAAAGAGACATACTGACGCTATTGTTATAATTACTCAGGAGACTGCCATCAAGGACCGGATACAGGAGAGGTTGGGGAGGCAGGCCGGCAAAGGCATAGCCGGCGGTCTCATGCGGCAGCCGGTGGCGGCGGCCTGATCTTTCAGACCAGGTCTTTGTGATGGTGTGAACGAACACCGAGAAAGCGAGAAGTTGTTTAGCTGTGCTTGTGTCATGGAATGTGATGCTTGTGCTGAGTAAAGTGGTTGAGTTAGCTGAGCAAATCCTTTGTATTATTACTACTGTTCTTTTTTTGTTGCTGGAGGATGTGTGTGTGTGTGGTTTCACAGTTTTGTACGCAGATATGATGTCTATAGCAGGGACGTTTGGTGTCGAGCGGCTTACCTACTATGTGGAGAGAGTTTTGTTACCTTGATCTTTGTAGGCTGTATCTTTTGTAATGAGAGAAAAGAAGTTGCTCCATTTTTCGGCTTACTCCATCAGAAAAAGGGAGCACAAGATTAAGACCATAGCTTAAATTTTTGTAACCCATCAAGTATGCTGCTGTTTTTCTTTTCTTTTTTTTTTTAAAAAAAGGGAAGAAAAGAATGTTGGTGTTGAACAGCTGCTTCACATGGAGCTGTGATGTGTGCTGGCCTGCTGGGTGCCCTGCTGAATGGCAACCCAAGGATCCCAATCCGGATACATCCTGGCCTCCGACTCCTGGCCACATACGCCTGCATCGAACACAACACCGAAAAGTCTTTCAGGTTCGCATCAGTGGCAGCCAGCCCTGCTGCTTCCGTCTCCGTTTCTGCTTCTGCTCCACTCCACTGGCCGGCCGGTCGTTCATGGCCGCGATGATGGGGATCTCCGCTTTGCGCTCCCACCACCCGCTCCCCCTGTCGACCGCGCGCCCGGCCACGGCTCTCCCCCGCGCCACGTCGCCGACGTCGCACCAACCCAGCTCGCTCACGCCTCTACGATGCCGATGCCGATGCCGACGCAGCCTCCCCCATTCTTGCTGCAGCTCCTCCCCTCGCGCCTCGCTCTCGCCAGGCGCCCCCGACTCGGCCGCTGCTTTCATGGCATTGGCTCCCAACAATGCCGCCCTTCGCCACCGCCTCATCGCCCCCAACTCCACCGCCGGCTCCGGAGACGCCGCCGCCACCGGAGGCCTGCCCAGCGTCAGTGCTCGTTCTCTTGATAGAGAATCAAACAATCGTCGACGACAGATGGTACACAGTATATTCTTATCCTCTGCACTCGTATGTATGTATGTATAGGTTGTTGGCATCGCGCACCTGGCGGTGTCGCTGGGCATCGTGCTGGCCACGGACAAGTACCTGAAGCAGGCGTTCGTGGCGGCGTCCATCAAGTTCCCCAGCGCCCTCTTCGGCATGTTCTGCATCTTCTCCGTGCTCCTCGTCCTCGACACCGTCGCGCCGGCGCTGGCCAAGGCCTTCATGGACTTCTTCGAGCCCGCCACGCTCTTCATCCAGCGCTGGCTGCCGCTCTTCTACGTCCCCTCCCTCGTCGTCCTGCCCCTCGCCGTCAGGGACGTCCCGGCCGCCTCCGGCCTCAAGATCTGCCTCATCACATGTACTCTACCACCACCTAGCATGCCATTGCCACTCAGTCCTGCCACAAGATTTTTTACCTTCACTGACGCTGTCGTTGCTGCATTTTTCCTTTTCGTGTGTCGCCGGCAGTCGGTGGCTGGTTCGCCTCGCTCGCGGTGGCGGGGTACACGGCGCTCACCGTGAGGAAGATCGTCAAGACGGAGCTCATCGCGGCCGAGCCGATGGGCAAGCCGTCCACCTTCGCGACGTTGGAGTTCTGGGCGTGGGGCGCCGTCTTCGTCGCCTCCTTCGCCACGGCGTTCGTGAACCCCACGGCGCTTGGCACCACGGCCAGGACGTGCCTCCCGTTCATGCTCGCTTCCACTGTACTGGGATACATGGTTGGTTCTGGGTAATTCATCACTATGTCTTTCTACTACGTAACATATTACACTCCTATACACTTACAGTTAAGAAGATACCAATACAGACTATACAGTACTATGTATTACTACTACTACTTCATTTGCATTTGCCTGACTACAGCATGTATGATATGCTATTTTTTCAGGTTACCGCCTGGTATCAAGAAATTGTTACACCCGATCATCTGCTGCGCGCTTTCCGCGAATTTGTCGGCGGTCGCATACGGGTACCTCTCCGGGTCCGGAATCGATGCTGCGCTAGGTTTTAAGCTAAACTTCCCTGCAATCAAATTCTGAATTTATCTGTAGTTTCACAACAGTTGCCTTGTAATTGCGACCATATATACTCTGCTCTGCTCTAACACAAGTGGTTGGTTGGTTTTGTAGGTGATTACCTGACAAAGGTGCCATCAAATCCTGGAGCTGGTGACGTCCTGATGGGCTTTCTTGGGTCTGTCATCTTATCATTTGCCTTCTCAATGTTCAAGCAGAGAAAGGTATGTGTAATTCCCATTGTTATCTTGCAACACTTTTTTGGGAGTAGCTAGAACTCATCTAGATGAGACGTAATTTGGTCTCATTCATCTGAAAAACAAGAACGGATATAACCCACGTCAGCACACACGCATCTTATAGCATCACATCCAATGGCTATAAAAGGTGAATGAGACCAAACTAAATTTCATCTAGATGAGTTCTAGCAAAACTGCACTTTTTTTACATTATTTTTTGCGAAAAAACTTGGAACACTGTTACGGTTGCTCTGTATCGAATCCTGATAACTCGTGTCGCTGTCGAATTCAGCTTGTGAAGAGGCACGCGGCAGAAATTTTCACGTCGATCGCGATTGCGTCGACATTCTCCCTGTACTCGACAGCCATCCTAGGACGCCTGATTGGGTTGGAGCCAACATTGACCATCTCGATATTGCCAAGGTGTATAACCGTGGCGTTGGCTCTGAGCATAGTCTCTTTCTTCGAAGGTAATTAAATCAAACCCCCTTGCATTCTCTTCTGTGTAGCTACTGAATTTGGAATGTGGTGATATAACTAGCTAACTGATGTGCTTTGTGCGTCGATGATGCAGGTGCAAACACTTCGCTGACGGCCGCCGTGGTTGTTCTGACGGGCCTGATTGGCGCCAACTTTGTGCAAGCGGCCATGGATAAGCTTGGCCTCAACGACCCCATCGCCAGAGGGATCGGAACAGCTTCCAGGTAAACTTGATGAAACTCTGGGATCCTGTCCCTGCGTTCATTCTGAAAGCATGCTAAATTTGATGGTGGGTGCAGTGCTCATGGGTTGGGAACCGCGGCGCTGTCGGCCAAGGAGCCTGAGGCGCTCCCTTTCTGCGCCATCGCCTACGCGCTCACCGGCATTTTCGGCTCATTGATCTGCTCCTCTGCAGCCGTCAGGCAAAGCCTGGTGTTCATAGCCGGCTGACACACATATACACTGGTATACAGCAACAGCAACAGCTTGTGATGAGTTTTTTTTTTCATTTTATAAAAGAATGGTAAGTGCTTGGAGAACAAAAATGCAAAATTTCCTTGGCATGTAGAGATGGATGGTTGCAACAAGTCAAGGCGTGAGTAGTACTCCCTGGCTTGTATAGCTGCAAAATGTTCGGTGATTGCTTTTCTCCATGCGATTTTTCTTCTAAAGGAACAAGAGTAATAGTCTGATTGGTTTGGTGCCAACAATTGGTTCTTGTCTCTTTGCATGGCCCTTTTGCCTATGTGGAGCAGCGAGACAAGTAAAAAGGGAGGAAGTGAGCTGTCATGTAAGAATCAGCCTCTATATGTCCGCTCATGTAAGAGTCAGCCTCTACACGTGCTCCTAGATAAGAGGAAGGAGAAAAAGAGAAAGTGCAAAAACTCACTAACTTAAGAGCGACCTTACGACCAACCATATTGTATGAGTGAATAATATTGCTAGCTTTTGATGACATGACAGTCTTATATTATATTATTAACATTGCTCTTAAAAAGTTGTCAATTTTTGGTAAAAAAATTCAAAACGGAGGTTTTGCCTCATTCATTAATTAAGAAGAAAAGAGTTGGTTAACTGACGGAAAACCAGACGAAAACCGTCATAATCTTGACCACACATACGAACTACTCCCAAACTATGGACCCACATGAATCCCCAATAAACACAGTTAACACAGAATCAGTCCGACACCCAAGCACTTTGGTCACACCAATGGAAACCCATCGACCCACAACCACTTGAAAAGGATATAACGACAGAGACAACAGACACATCTGAGCCCACGTCTACAACCTAGACAAATGTATCATGAAAACATCTGCACCTCCCCATTATCTCTCTTTCCCTTGCACTTCTAGATTTCTTCCCGTGGGTGCCAGGTTGAGGGTGAGCTTCATCCTTCTTGCATTTGTGCCTTGATGCATGCCTTATGCTTCAAGAGACATTGAATCGTTTTTTTAATTTAACATCCAAGATAGATAGGTATTCGACAAGCTTGGTGACAAACATCGCCCCCAAGGCTAGGCATCGGCGCTCTGAATGCTTGATAGACTTAGGAGAGTGCGTGTCAGCAACATCTACACCAACGTCCACCTCGCAAGGCACAAGAGGAGGTGAAGTGGGGGCCTAAGCCACGACTGAGTGTGACGTCTACTACACAGCTTTATTCTTGTAGACTCATGTTGGGCCTTCAAACACAGAGTTTTGTAGGATAGTAGCAATTTTTCCTCAAGTGGATGACCTAAAGTTTATCAATCCGTGGGAGGCGTAGGATGAAGATGGTATCTCTCAAACAACCCTGCAAACAAATAATAGAAAGTCTCTTGTGTCCCCAACACACCAAATATAATGGTAATTTGTATAGGTGCACTAGTTCGGTGAAGAGATGGTGATACAATCGTAGAAATGATAGTAGATATTGATTTTGTAATAGGAACAATAAAAAACAGCAAGGTAGCAATTGATAAAACGGAGCACAAACGGTATTGCAATACTTGAAAATGAGGCCTAAGGTCCATACTTTCGCAAGTGCAATCTCTCAACAATGCTAATATAATTGGATCATATAACCATCCCTCAACGTGCAATGAAGAATCACTCCAAAGTTCTTATCTAGCGGATAATGTAAGAAATTGTTTGTAGGGTACGAAACCACCTCAAAGTTAGCCTTTCCAATCGATCTATCCAAGAGTTCATACTAAAATAATACCAAGTTATCCTTTCTGATCGATCTATCTAAGAGTTCGTACTAAAATAACGCCATATGATACACATCAATCAACTCTAATGTCACCTAGATACTCCAATGTCATCATGAGTATCCGTGAGTTGATTATACGATATGCATCAAACAATTTCAGATTCATAATACTCAATTCAACACAAAGAACCTCAAAGAGTGTCCCAAGATTTTTACCGGAGAAACAAGGATGAAAACATGCATCAACTCCTATGCATAGATTACCCCAATGTCACCTTGGGAATCCGCAAGTTGAGTGCCAAAACATATATCAAGTGAATCAATATGATACTCCATTGTCACCACGGGTATTCATAACAAGATATACATCAAGTGCTCTCAAATTCATAAAAGTATTCAATCCAATAATAACGAAATCTCAAAGGGAGAACTCAATTCATCACAACAAGATAGAGAGGGAGAAACACCATATGATCCAACTATATTAACAAAGCTCATGATACATCAAGATCATGTCAAATCAAGAACACGAGAGAGAGAGAGAGAGAGAGAGAGAGAGAGAGAGAGAGAGAGAGAGAGAGAGAGAGATTAAACACATAGCTACTAGTACAAACCCTCAACCCCGAGGGTGGACTACTCCCTCCTCATCATGGTGGCTACTGGGATGATGAAGATGGCCACCAGTGATGATTTCCCTCTCCGACAGGGTGCCGAAACCGGGTCTAGATTGTTTTTTCGTGGCTACAAAGGCTTGCAGCGGTGGAACTTCTGATCTAGATTAACTTTCGGGGGTTTCCGAATATATAGGATTTTTTGGCGTCGGTTTCACGCGAAGATGGGCCTCAGGGGGCCCACTACCCACCAGGACGCGCTAGGGGGGGCGCCTGATACGTCTCCAACGTATCTATAATTTTTTATTGCTCCATGCTATATTATCTACTGTTTTGGACATTATTGGGCTTTATTATCCACTTTTATATTATTTTTGGGACTAACCTATTAACCGGAGGCCCAACCCAGAATTGTTGTTTTTTGCCTGTTTTAGGGTTTTGAAGAAAAGGAATATCAAACGGAGTCCAAACGGAATGAAACCTTCGGGAACGTGATTTTCTCAACAAACAAGACCCGGGAGACTTGAACCCTATGTCAAGACACAAAAGAGGAGGCCACGAGGTAGGGGACGCGCCCACCCCCACCAGGCGCGCTCTCCACCCTCGTGGGCCCCCTGTTGCTCCACCGACGTACTCCTTCCTCCTATATATACCTACGTACCCCCAAACGATCAGATACGGAGCCAAAACCCTAATTCCACTGCCGCAACTTTCTGTATCCACGAGATCCCATCTTGGGGCCTGTTCTGGAGCTCCACCAGAGGGGGCAACGATCATGGAGGGCTTCTACATCAACACCATAGCCCCTCCGATGAAGTGTGAGTAGTTTACCTCAGACCTACGGGTCCATAGTTATTAGCTAGATGGCTTCTTCTCTCTTTTTGGGTCTCAATACAATGTTCTCCCCCTCTCTTGTGGAGAACTATTCGATGTAATCTTCTTTTTGCAGTGTGTTTGTTGAGATCGATGAATTGTGGGTTTATGATCAAGTCTATCTATGAATAATATTTGAATCTTCTCTGAATTCTTTTATGTATGATTGGTTATATTTGCAAGTATCTTCGAATTATCAGTTTGTTTGGCCTACTAGATTGATCTTTCTTGCAATGGGAGAAGTGCTTGGCTTTGGGTTCAATCTTGCGGTGTCCTTTCCCAGTGACATTAGGGGCAGCAAGGCACGTATTGTATTGTTGCCATCGAGGATAACAAGATGGGGTTTTCATGATATTGCATGAGTCTATCCCTCTACATCATGTCATCTTGCTTAAGGCGTTACTCTGATTTTAACTTAATACTCTAGATTCATGCTGGATAGCGGTCGATGAGTGGAGTAATAGTAGTAGATGCAGGCAGGAGTCGGTCTACTTGTCTCGGACGTGATGCCTATATACATGATCATACCTAGATATTCTCATAATTATGCTCAATTCTGTCAATTGCTCAACAGTAATTTGTTCACCCACTGTAGAATACTTATGCTCTCGAGAGAAGCCACTAGTGAAACCTATGGCCCCCAGGTCTATCTTCATCATATTAATCTCCTACTACTTAGTTATTTCCTTTGCTTTTTTACTTTGCCTTTATTTTACTTTGCATCTTTATCACAAAAAAATATTATCTTATCATATCTATCAAATCTCACTCTTGTAAGTGGCCTTGTAGGGATTAACAACCCCTATTTACGTTGGTTGCGAGGATTTATTTGTTTTGTGCAGGTACGAGGGACTCGCGCGTAGCCTCCTACTGGACTGATACCTTGGTTCTCAAAAACTAAGGGAAATACTTACGCTACTTTGCTGCATCATCCCTTCCTCTTCGGGGAAAACCAACGCAGTGCTCAATAGGTAGCAAGAAGGATTTCTGGCGCCGTTGCCGGGAAGGTCTACGCAAAAGTCAACATACCAAGTACCCATCACATACCCTTATCTCCCGCATTACACCATTTTCCATTTTCCTCTTGTTTTCCTCTCGCCCCACTTCATCCTTGCCATTTTATTCGCCCTCTCTCTCTCTCTATCCTCCCTCTCTTTCTCTATTTGCCTCCTTTTGCCCGCTTGCTTTTTGTTTGCTTGTGTGTTAGTTTGCTTGATTGCCTCAATGGCTCTACCTAAATTTGGTGATCTCCACCTTAAAAGGCTAGAAGAGATCGAAAGCAATGTCAGGAGTTTTATGGTTTTGCAATTTGAACATAATAGTTTCTTCAGAAACGAGCTTAAAGAATATAAAAGTTTTATGAGTTATATGAATAAAGAGCTTGATGATATGTCTAAAGAATTCGATGGTTTAAGATCCCAGATTGCTCGTCTTGAGAAATTGACTGCTGAAATTTCGGATTGCTATGAAAATAAAGATGAAGATCTAAAAGTTATTGATGTGTCCCCTATTAAATCTTTGTTTTGCAATATGAATCTTGATAATGATGGGACTGAATATGATCCACCTTTACCTAGAAGGCGTTCCAAGAATTCAGAATTTGTTGATCTTGATGCTAAAATTGATAAAAGTGGGATTGAAGAAATTAAAAACCCTAGATGTTGCTAGCCCACTATTATGGATTTCAAGGAATTTAACTATGAAAATTGCTCTTTGATTGATTGTATCTCCTTGTTGCAATCCGTGCTAAATACTCCTCATGCTTA